GTGCTGGCCTCCGCTCGTACTGGAGGGCTCAGGTTTGCTGGGACCTCTGAATTACTTCTCCTTACAGAGAGGGAAGAGAAATCCAACCATTTGCTAAGAAGAGTTCTAGCAAACTGCCTGCTGGGGTTTATGCTTCTACTTTTTTCTGCCTTGTGTTTTGTGGACAAAACGAGGACTTAGGCATGGAACAGCCAAGCACGGGAAGGACTATAGGAACAGCTTCACTTTTTATAGTGGCAGAAGTGACTATGTCTGGAGATTACTTTAATGGAAACGTAATCGGTTAAAGTAAGCACCAAGCTGGGGGGATTTACATTACATATACTTATTAAAACTATTTATAAGACTCCAGCATCACAACAGTTGCTAACACTTGCATCAAAACAAGACAGGACTAGATGGGGTCAGTCATTATGACTTGTTCTAACATCGATCTTTCTGCTAAACAACTAGAAAAAGGGAGATACAAAGCTCTTTGCTGACAAGCTGCATAGGTGTTTTGTTTTGCACCTTGTCTCAGCCATCACTAGAAAGACCCTTTGCTTGCAATTCTTCATCAGGGGATGCAAAGCTCATTACATTACTTAGCGAGTTATAATTTTTGCCATTCAGAATTATATGTTTGCACTAATTAAAAAAAACAATTTAGTTACCCAAAGCTTTATTGTGCCAGCCATCAAAAATACGAGCACAGAGGGTCTAAGAAACTGCAGCACCACTTCTGGCCTTTGGCAGAACAGGTATGTAAGATCTTAGAAGTAACAGTGCTTTCTTCCCAGGGCTGAAGATTAACATTCATTTTACTGAGGGAAAGGAAAATCAAGGCATAAAGTATTCCGAATAGTTTAACTTCAACATTAAGGCCTAAGCCAAGTGAAGCTTCATATTCACACCTGTCATCTAGCTTGACGTGGGTTTAAGGATTTGGGCAAGCTTTCCTAGGCCAGAGAGCAGGAGCGTGTTCCCCATGGCCTGCCTGGGAGTTTGGATCGTGGGTTACATTACTGCGATGCATTGCTCTGAAGCTACACTGAAGTCCCATCTAAGATTTGCTGTATTTCAGCTTTAATGTCTGAGGGAAATAACGACGCCTATTGTACCTGCACCACTGCTTTTTTCACCCTTCTCTATGTAACGTTAGGAAGCGTGGCAGTGTGCGCCTCAGTGGTACCCAGGGCTCTTAACAGGCGTTCCGTTACTGCTAAACATTTCTGAAAACAAAGTAGCAAACGTAGTGCAGGTGCATGAAAAGCTTTACAAGTCAGGAAAGGTTTCCAGACATTTATTTCTGGAACTGTACAACAGGTATTAAAGTACAACAAATACAAAATAATGCTCAAAAAAATCAGTGTTTATGTACAAATATTAAAACCAATGCAACAATAGCGACTTCCTCTTGAACATCTGATAATAAAACACGTTCCGATTGTCACTAGGTTTGTTGTTACGCACAGGGTACTTACTCTGAACCAAGAATAACTAAAATCTCTCTGTCTTATTGGGAGGATATAATTCCTACTGTATTTTACAATTGATAGTATCTCCCTCCTTCTTTCAATGAAAAATAGGAATTAAAAAAATAGTAACCTCGTCACTATTTTATAAATTACTGTATTTAGTTTCCCTGTTTGTAGACAATGTGCTTGTAATGCTGGGCAAATAGTGTCCCTGTTGGTCAGTTTATCCATTAGTTTACATTCAAAGCTGAAATATTCACTAAAGACTTTGGTTAAATTAAGTAGTATCACTATGTTCTACTTGATCTGAAGTTTTCCTATATTTCTGATCCTCAGTTTTAATAATTAAAAAAAAGGAAACAACTGCACAATTAATTGACCTAATTGTACACGATTTAGTATTCTTCAAACAGTATTGTACATCCTTCAAGTAAATGCAGCAGTTTGACCATGACAAGAGGAAAACTAAACATTTAAAAACCTAGCATGAGCAGATGACGTATGACTAACTGAAGTGAAAGTATTGCTATAATCACAGCACCAGTTACACTTCTAAATGAATCACCTACCCTCTTCAGATTCCCTGTACATAGAAAGGATATATTTACCAACACTGCAATTGCCCATTATGGATTTTTTGGTTTGTTTTTACGAAGAGAAAGTGTGGCAAAGGGCAAAGAATTCATCACAGTTTGTTATAAGAATTGTGCTTCACCAGCTAAGAACCAAGGTCATATAATTTCTTCATATGGTTGCAATTCAGTTATCTTCATGCTGACTTTCAAAACGCAATTCTTTTAATAAACAGTAACAAGTTCTCCATTAAATGTTTAAACCGAGAGAAAAATAAGTAAGACCAGCTTTTAAAAGAAAAGTTCAATAAATAGCTATTTTACATGGATAAAGTCATAGTGGTACAAATTTATGAATGTCACATCAAGCATGCACAAAAATGTTACTATACACATAAGTAGTCAGAAAATATTGAAATAGATATCTAAAAAGATATGAAGAATTTACATATTTACAAAGTCTTGCAAATTATTGCCTCATTTTAACAAGGAAGTAAAAGTAAACGATACCAGCTAGCTAGCCAACAGGCTAAAAAAGATCAGCATTTTAAAAATCCATTAGACTAGCCGGAATCCATTTTTCTCTCATACCATTTTTCTGAATTTTGGTCAAAAGTCTATTAAATAACTAAAGTGTCCATTCAACTCGCTGACAACCCAGACCTTAGACAAATCTCTGTCTACATTAAGAGCCCAGCAATGCATAGATAAACTGAATATATTACTGCATCAGCTAATGAGTATGGGCATGTTCATTTAAGTGCAACTGGTATAAGCATTCAGTCATCTTGTATCATCATTTTTGTACAGACCAGCCACTCACTGTAAACCCATAGATAACTTGAGTGTGTAACAATGGAAGATAATGGCCAGTATTTTACAAAATCACATAAAATGTGTTGATTCATAAACAAAAGAAACAAGGTACAAAGTTCAGCACAAAACACAGCAACAAGAAGCTGACAACTTGGCTAAATATGCCAGAGTACACCTCAGCACCAAGGCTACCTGTTATTTACTGTGTACTTACTAAAGTTATGTATTTCAGAAGTGTAAGTCAAGAACCGATTACAAAAGTTTATCTGCTTTTGCCCACTGTGCTAAACTAGTTTGTGTTTAACGTGGTAGGTGTGCTATTGCATAAACGCTCTGAAGCAATCTTTGTGACAATGCTGCAAAGAAAACTCCATACACTGCATCGGAAACTCAGGATGTCAATGCAGTTCACAGTATGCATAATAAATACCCTCTTCCCTTTCAAATATTAAAGTCACTACTTCCTAATTACTCAGCATAACCTTGAAGCAACTATTACACCTATCAACAACGCAAGCTTAATCACTTGAATAATGAAAACAAATCAGTGGCAACTAATTGGTAATACAAACACAGTGCAAAGAAAAAGTATGGAGGGAAAGGGGTAATCCTACTGAAGTACGGTTCAGATGCTCAGTAAAACAACCCACAGATTGTACGCTACAACAGGTTACAAGCCAACACCATGTTTGGTTTGACTCTCCCACGAGAACTGGAACAATCATTTGCAAGACAATCCTCCTGGATGGCTAAATTGCACTCAATGCTCAAAATAAAAAATTTACTGAGGTTAAACACTTGCTTTTATGGGAAACATTTTTACTCGTCCTTTCCTACGTGACCAAGGTAGCGAAGTGCCATCTTTGAGCCAAAACAAATAAATGCAACCCATGCTAAAGAAAAAACTTTCCAGTACATACTTCAAGGTTCTACTATTCCTATATCAACTAGATAGTCCCTCAAAACGGTAACATTTTGAACTGCTGTGCTCCAAACAACTTAAGATGTCTCCCAAATGTACACTGTTTGTTAAGTGGTAAATCCTAGTGTGCAGACTTTAGCTTTATGCAGTATCAGCTGCCTTAGGAAAGTTAAGGTACATGATTACATCACTCTTCAAAGTCGTGGACAAAACCCATCTGAATACAATATAGCCTAAACCACCATCTGTTTAAGCCACGAAGTAAGTTCAAAGTACACAGACCCCTACAGCAGCATAATTACTTCTGTGTAAGATAGCCACAGCCTATGGTTTTGCAACAGCATCAAAGTGTAGGTCTTCACACTCTACTCATGTAGTCAAGTCCCTTGCGCTAGCTTCCGCCAAGATGAATTTGCTGTTCTGTGAACTGAAGTGCTCTAGTTTAGTATCACATGAGAGAAGGTTCGATTTAAAAAACATCCTTGTATGTTTGTGCAGTTTAAATTAAAGAAACCCACCCCTGCCTTGACAAGAAAAAAAAAAATGCTACATTGAGCAGGGATCAGGATGGGTACCTGTAAACATTGTTATTCCACTGCATCTATTACGGCAAAAGTAACTTAGACTAAAAAGCCATTCCAACCCTTTCAGAACTTCTGTGCTGGTTTTGAAATGGTGGCCTCCATCTACAGGCTTTAAAAAAAAACTGAAGCAGAGCTTAAAGCTGCACTGCAGAGTTCTTGTAGTCCCAAACTCTGCCGAACATCCTATGACATTTCCACATTTATGGACTGAAAAAAAGAAATTACTCTTGATAAATCAAGATATAGTTCTATACATACAAAGACATCACTGATGTCATAAAGTTCAAACTTCCAGTGAAAGACTAAGCAAACCTGATAGCTCCCATCAAGTTTACTACTACTGCATAAAGTACCCACTGTTTGTTTAGTTTTCCACAATCATTCCGAGTGAAGGGCAGCATGTTGATGAAGAGCGTGGGTATTGATAAAACCGTTTGTCTCATTTGCAGATAGACTGCTGAAGTCAGCCACTGAAACAGCCATTTTGGCACTGGTAATATGGTGTGTGTGGTTCTCAAAGTCCACACCAAGGTTATTTACAGACACGTCATTCATGAAGGACTCTGGGACAGCAATTCCCATTTTCAACCTCTTCGCAGGTCTTTCTGTCTCCTCACTGCACATGTTCATTGGGTTTAGTTCCGAATGATAAAAGCCCGTCTCAAATAAATTAAAACAATCACTTTCACCATTGCTAGGCAAGTTGAGCAACTCTTCCGTTCCAACAGGCACATGATTAACTGGTGCTCGAGGCAAGCTGTCCATAGGAGGAAAGGTGTCATCCAGGCAGCTCACATCTGAAGAGTGGCAGACCGTAGCTACACTATTTGTCAATGCTGAAAAACAGACGGACACAAATGCCAATGAAATAGTTGTTTGCATAGTTACAACAAAGAGGGTTTGGGGTTTTTTTCTTGATTTACCTGTCAGCTCGTTGGCAGTGATAGAGTTCAGAATGCTTAGCTGTTGATCAGGAATATTTTCTGTCCTAGTATTGGATGTTAAAGCTGAAGAATGCACTGCTCCACCAAGGGCTTCTGCTTCATCTACCAAACGATCCATGTAGTCCCTAAAAGAATATTGCATCCATAATGCATTATTTAACTGGAAAGCAAAGCCTAAAACCAATGATGGATTTCATTTCAGTTGCCATAGACACTTCAGCATTAAAGTGCAATGTCAGAAGGAGAAAAGTTAACATCTTCTATGTTTAAGATTTGCAACAGAAAACATATTCCAATAACGTTTTACTTACGTAACTCCTGGATGATGATTGTATCTCTTCTTTCCAAATCTTGTTTGCTGAGCAAAGTAATCACATCTACCAAACGATCCATGTAGTCCCTTAAAGAATGTGGTATTCGTAATGAGTTATTTAACAGGAAAACAAGGTCTAAAAGTGATGATGAATTTAATTTCAGTTGCCATAGCACTGAAGCATTACACTGCAATGACAGGAAGGAAAAAAAAAATTTCTATGTTTACGATTTGCAACAGAAAACACATTCCAGGAACATTTTACTTACGTAACTCCTGGATGATGGTTATATCTCTTCTTTCCAAATCTCGTTTGCTGAGCAAAGTAATCGTAACGTTCTGACTTTTTCCACATGTAATAGAAAGCCACACACTCAGCAACTGTTCTGGTTCTTACCTAAGGGTAAGGAGAATTGACAAAATTAACGCAAAGTCTTACTATTTGTCATCTCCTCAACTCCCATTCCTGCAATAGAATCATAAAATCATACACACTCAGCAACTGTTCTGGTTCTTATCTTAAAGGCAACAAGAATAATTGACAAGCTTAATACAAAGAATTGTGTTTTGTCATCTCCCCAGTCCCCATATTCCTGCAATATTGTTAGTTTTACTGTTCTAGTATCTGGAACAAACCAATTAAATCAGAAGACTTGAAAAGAGATCTAGTGTTTCAAATTTCTTTACTGAGAAGGTGGTTCAAACATTGGAACAGGTTTCCTAGAGAGTTGGTTGATGCACCAAGCCTGTTAGTGTTTAAGAGGCATTTGGACAATGCCCTTACTAAAATGCTTTAGCTTTTTGTCAGCCTGGAGTGGTCAGGCAGTTGGACTAGATGTGATCATTTTAAGTTCCTTCCAACTGAAATATTCTAAGTATTAAATCTGTTCTATTGCATGCATTATTGTAGGTTTTTTTGTTGTTGTTGTTTGGGGTTGGCTTTTTTGTTTACCTAGATTGAAATCTGCATCTATATCTGAAGCATTTCAATTCATAACCTATATAACAATTTTTTAAACTCTAAGACAGACTCTCTCAAGATGGAAAAAGTTGAGCAAATCAATGACCTAAGAGAAGTGAAGCGGAAAAGACTTTAGGCACTTAGAAAAATTCTAGTCCACAGTGACAGACAGATCCACTCACGTGCTTTGCTGCATGTTTGAAAAAATATCTTTAAATTATTTCTTCGTATCTCCGGTGAATTACTGTTATTGGTAAGGTCTGTTTAAAGTTTGAAACATCCAAATATTTATCATATGACAGGTTAAGCCAAGTGTTGAGCGGGACTATCTGACTGTTGTTGAACAGTGACCCCAACCCTATAAAGTTTACCTGAAATACAACAAAAACATCAGTTTCCTAAAGAAAAAAAATGTTGTGGTTTAACCCCAGCCAGAAAGTAAGCACCACACAGCTGCTTGATATCTCCATATCTCCTCCCTGGGTGAGATGGGGGGAAGAATTGAATTGGATGAATAAAAGTGAGAAAACTTGTAGGATGAAATGAAGACAGTTTAATAACGAATTTAAAAAAGAAAAAAAAAAAAAAACAAACAACAACGAACAAACAAACAAAAAAAAACCACCACCACAAAACAAAACAAACACCTCACAATTGCTCACCACCAACTAACACCCAGCCAGTGCACAAGCAACAGCGGTCTTCAACCTCAAACATCACCTCCCACAGCCGTGGTATAGAAATACTATACTTCTAGGAGAGGCAAACTAAAGTATAACATAAATAGATAAATGGAAGTAATGTCAACATAAGTCTATTTCAGAGATAATATATTGACTCATCTTGCAACATCTATCTTTACCTCTGACGTCATTGAA